TCCCTGTTCCTACTGACCAGGTGTCCGGGCCCAGACTTTCCTATTTCCCACTCACCTCAAAATGACTGTCTGCCCCTCCCACCAACCTTCAAAGCTCAGTTAAGATGCCACCTCTCTCAGTAGGCCACCTCCAAACCCCTCCTCTCCTGGGAGCTCAAAGCCACCCTCTCCTTCTTTAGGATGAAAACACAAGATGCTCATGAAAAATGAGGGTAGCACCAGGGAATATAAACAACCAAGTGTCCAAGCTGGTTAAATAAGCCATGGAACATCCATAGAATACTAGGTGGCCATTAAAGATCATGTTTCCATGGTCTCTTTAACAAGAATGCACCCAGCAAAATATTAACTAGAATATAACCACTTTATTTTCTTTAAATTTTAAAAATATTTATTCATTTTTGAGAGACAGAGTGTGAGCTGGGATGGGGCAGTGAGAGAGGGCGACACAGAACCGGAAGCAGGCTCCAGGCTCTGAGCTGTCAGCACAGAGCCCAACGCAGGGCTTGAACTCAGAGACTGCAAGATCATGACCAGAGCTGAAGTCAGATGCTTCACCAACTGAGCCACCCAGGTGCCCCTAGAATGTAGACACTTTAAAATATATTCCTGGGGCACTTGGGTGGCTTAGTCGGTTGAGCGTCCAACTCTTGATCTCGGCTCTGCTCTTGATCCCAGGCTCATGGGATCCCCACTGAGTGTGGATGCTGCTTAAGATCATCTCTCCCACTCCCTCTGCCCCTCCCCTGCTTGTACCCACATGCACACTCACTGCAAACATATATATATATTCCCAATTGTGTAAAAATAGCCATCCTCTTGTATATTATATATAGTAGGAAAAATAGAATGACACTGAAATACACACAGAGCCTATGTCTTAATGGTAGGATTAAAAGTGATTTTTAAACTTCTTTATATTTTTCCAAGTTCTGAAATTTTGCCTCAAACATTATAATAATCAGAATTAGACTTCTTAAGCAGAATCCTAAATATTTGCTAGTCCTAATCCCCCCTTCTCTTCTTGCCCAGATGTCACCTGACCTCTGCTTGAACTCCTCCAGCAATGGAGAACTCGCTACCTTTCTTCCTCACAAGAAGTAGAATCTGGCGTCCTTTAGCTTCCCCTCACTGGCCACAATTCTGCCTTCTGGAACAACAGAGAACAAGGCTGCTCCCTGTGCCCCTTGGCAACACTTCAGAGGGTTGGAGGTAACGGCCAGGCTCTGGGCTTCATTGCCCCAAGCCTTCCAAGGACGTTAATGCCCCGTCTCTCACATCCCTGTTTGCTTTCTTTGGGTCCAATCTGGGCAGTGATGTCCTTCTGACGTTATCGACATGGTCTCTTATCAAACACACAACACTCTCCTGTGTGCATTCTTATCTAATCTTTAGAACAACCCTATGACCCAGGAGCTAATCCCATGTCTATCTTGCAGATGAAGAAACTGAGGCATGGAGAAGCCCAGTCCTTTCCACAGTCACTTAAATGGGCCTGCGATAGAGCCGGTACTGAAGCAGCACCAGCCCCAGTCTGCTGTGCTGAGTGAAGAAAGCAATGCATGAACCCAGTTCCAAAGCCCACACCTATAGTGTCCAAGGTTTTGTTTCAGGATTATTTAAGCCTATACCGGGCTCTTCCATGTCACTCACTTCTGCACTCCCGCCCCCCGCCCCCCTGGCCTCCTACCTAGAAGTGCTCATGAAGGGCTCCTGAAAGACACCCATCGAAGATCCATTGCCTGAGGCCAGCTGTGGGAGCAGGGCCAAGTGGGTTCTCCGACATTCCACTCACGGCTGTGGTGCATGGCCAGAGCCGCAGCCCTGGGGACTGGGGAGTTCTGACATCATACTAGGCGCACACACAGGGTGACGACCATGAGGCACGAGATGCCCCTCCCCACTCCTGGTAAGCTACTGCGGATGGAAGGCCCCTCTGTACCCCCATGTCACTTCTATAGGCAAGTCCCTGGAAAATCTCTTTCCTTGGTCCCTCCCCTCTCTGTCCATCCTCCACCCACGTCCTCCTGGGGACATGATCACATCACCAATGGTCTCCATCAAGATGGGTTTAGGAAGGGCCGCACAGTGCAGATGGCTCCACGGCACCCGTCATTCATCAGGATGTCAACTCGTCCCAATAGGGCAGTGGCTTAGCCTCAGGCTGGGTCTCTCAGCTAAGGCCACCAGACACAGGAGACCACAGAACTCAGCAAACCCTCTCCTCCTTGAACTTGGAAGGACTGAGAGGTCCTAGTGGCCAAACCCCTGTCCCTAGCCAGGGGAGTCCCCGCTGAAAGCTCCGGGCTCATCCTTCACTGCCTGTCACCTCCACCCTCCACAATGAGCCCCATCATACTGTGCTCTCTCTGGTTCAGCCTTCCTTCAGGCTCTTCTCTCCGCCTCGAGTGCATCTCCTACCAAACCTTCAACACTCAATCAAGGCATCCCCACACCCACTTTGCCCCAACCCAAGAAGTCTTGCTGTATCTCTTGAGGCTGAATGAGGCACTGCTGTGGCAGCCTGGGTTAGCCTGGCTCTTGCTCGGCCCTCGTTTGCTCACTCTAATATTTACATAGCACCTGCTCTGTACAAGGCGACGAGCACCAGACCGGGCGCGGAAAACCAAGCTCAGTTGCACAGCTTCACCACCAACGGGTTCTATGACTGTGGACTCATCACGCCTCCCTGAACATTGGTGTCCTCACCTGTGGAGTGACGAAGATTCTGCAGCTCAGCCTAGCTTTCAGGGCGTTTGTGAGGCCCGCAGGATGTGAGAGTACTCCGGCAACTGCCACTGAGGGTGAGTCATTGTTGCCGACCTGACCCTTCTGCAGTCTGAGCTCATTTTTGTACATCCCATCCTTAGAGCCCTATCTCCTCCCCAGGGGGGCTGATAGCCTGTGAGGACGGCCTTGGGAGCATCCTGGAATGAGAAATTGGGCAGGAGCACAGCCTGGAGGGATGGAAATGGGCATGAACTTTAAACAGACCTGGCGTGTAAATCCCGCCGCACAGGGGCAGGGGCCTGGCATTGCCGGGACAGGGAAGAAAGGCCGGACTGCCCTGAGGCAACAGAGTGAAGGCTTTAATGCCAAAGGGCTTTGGAATCAACAAGAAGCCACTAGAAACACAGAGTTGGAGTGCAGGCAAAGAGCACTGGACTAGGCGGCTGGATACCTGGGTTCCACTCTAAGTTACTCTGTGATCTCAGTCAAGATTCTTCCCTTCTCCAGGCCTTAACCTCCCATCTGTATATTGGGTATATCAGCCCAGGTGGTACCCAGGGCCCTTTCCCACTTGGAGAGTCTGTGTGGACTTAACTTGCCCTTCAAAGCTTGAGGCAGGAGGGTCCATTCAGGCTGTACCAAGGATAGACAGGGACAGCTGGGAAGGCTCTCAGGAGGGCCAGGAGGCAAGGGAGCCCATGCTCCCTCTGGAAGGGTCTTGCCTAGAGCAGGGCTCCTCCTCTAGTCTCTTTCTATCCCTGCTTAGATGGAAGTCACACTTGGCCCACTTTGCCAAGACTGAGCTGTTGACACAGGGTCAGAGAACACGGACTCTCAGACCCTTAGAAGCCATCCTGCTTGTCTCCCTGCCTCTCCACTCAGAGGGAGAGACTGAGGCCCCGAGAGCGGTGAGGGCTTGCTCGGGGATACACAGCATGTTCATGGCAGAGCCAGAACTCTCCAGCTCCTTCCAGTCTCAGCCAGGCTCAGCTCTATGTGCCACCATCCCTCCCAGCCAGCCCTCTGCTTCCACTGCTGCAGGCAAGCCTCAGTTTCCCTGTGGGAGTAACTGGAAACCTGAGGGTTTCTGGGTCAGAGCTTGGTGGGGTTTTTTGAACTAGGAAGAAAGGAGAAGCAAGGAAAGTGGAAGAGCCATTGCACTTGGGAGGAAAACTCATCTTCCTGAAGGAGAGCTAGGCACAAGGCAGGGAAAGCTTGTCCTGGCCTCAGCAAAGCAGGAGCAGAGAGAGAGAATGAGAGAGAGAGAGGGAGGGAGAGATTCAAGTTTTATGAAAAATAACTACATTTTAGGGCAGCTTGAAGCCTCTCAGGGTCCCCAGAGGCTCATCAAGTTTATGGGACCACCTATCCCCACCTGGCAGGCAGGCAGGCAGTAGTAGTGGGAAGAGGGGTTAGAACTTGAGGGTCCTCCCTTCCCTCTCTGCGCCTGGGGTGGTCCCCTGGGACAGTCCTTTGACTCCAGGCCCTGACCTTCTGGGCTGGTCAGACCCCAAGGGGCAGCTGGTCCCACTGTCAGAAACCCGAGTAGAGTCCCCTGGGTCCTAACCCAGCTCCGAGGCCCCTCGGGGGAGGGGCAGGAAGGGCAGCAGCGGCTGCAGACCTCCTCCCTCTTTGGCCCCTCCCAGCTACGCCCGGGACAGCCCACATGCACCGGCTCTGCGGCCCGAGGAGGCTCGAGCCCGGCGCTTCCGAAACTTTAAAGCCTGTTGTAATCACCTGCTTATCTCCTTAAAAGTCAGGTTCTATTTTAGCAGGTCCGGGGCCGAGCCTGAGATTCTGCATTTCAAACAGGTCCCGGGTGGTGCCGCTGCTGTAAATCCGTGGACCATTCTGCGAGTAGCGGCCTTAGAGAGAATCTGCCTCAGAACGGTGGGAAAAGCGGAAGGCCCAGAGAGGTCAAGTCACTAGTCCGTGGCCACACAGCGAAGCTGTGCCCAGACCGAAGGAACAGGGCACCTGCCCTAGCACTAGACGTTTCCCTACTCGGGCAGCCGGAATCGGCTGCGCTTCCCGGGCCCAGGGGCCGTGTCGCTAAACTCGGCTGCCCCGCGCGGCTCAGCCCAGGGCCGGGGGTGGGCGCGTCGCCCAGCCGAGCTCTCCCCGCCTCCCTGCGCGCCGGCCTCCGGCCGTCCTCCGCCGGGCACCCCGGGAGGACCCGAGGGGGCCGGCGGCGCCGAGAGTCCCTGCCGCGGAGCCGTTCCGCACCCTCCTCCCCTCTGAAGGCAAACTTCGCCGCCGGAGCCCTTTACCTTTTTGGGGGCTTTGCAGCAGCTCGGCCGGCTGTGTCCGCAGCCCATCCTCCTCCGGGGACTCCGGGACGCCGCCTGCCTGCTCCGGGCCCCCCCGAGGACCCAGCCGCCCGGGCCCCGCTGCCCGCCGCGCGCCCGCCGGCCGGGGCTGCCGGCGAGACCCTGAAACTGAACCTGGAAGCGCAGACTTAAGTTGGAGCTGGGGCGGCCGCGCGCCGTAAATACCCGAAGAGCAGGGCCTCGGCCAAGCCCGCGGGGTTCGCCGGGCCACCGCCTGAGGCAAGTGGCCAGACTCCCCGTAAATGATAACTTTGGGCCAGGGCAGAGAAGATCCCTGTGAACAATGGATGTTTTTCCCGGCCCTTGCCAGGGAAAAGAATTAAAACAATTACTTCGTGAACACAACAGCTACCATTTATTGAGAGCGGTGATCGTCCTGACTGCTTTGTACATATTACTTTATTTTTTCCCATCTCCTTGCCACAAAGGTATTATTCCTTCCACTTTACGGGTTAGGAAGATGAGGATCAGAGACGTGAATCGCCAAAGATCGCATAACTACTAAGTACCAGAGCCCAAATGAATTTCTGTTCTAACTCCTGAACCTGAGTTTTGAGCCACTTCCCTACAAATACATAATGATATTTAGTTCAATTGTAATGCCACTTCGAGTCTGGATCAATAGGGCTTCCCCATTCACAAGCATCTGTAATCCTCTGTCCATCCTAGATAGAGGTTACCCATCACAACAACCTGGTGAAGCAGACAGACAGATGCGGTGGGAATAAGGGACATCACATATCATCGCCTGGGGAAAAGAACTTTTATTTACCTCACTTTGTGACCAGCTGAGGTTTCAGGGAGTGGCAGTGCAGAGAAAGCACACCTAACTTTGAAAATCAGTGTGCATTAGCAAGTTATACAAGGCCCAGAGACCCTTGGGGAGGTATGCCCACATAAAAGGGACTCACGGTTGTGAGTGAGGAAAGAATATGAGATCACATACTCCCTCTCCACAAACTATAAGACCAATTATAGCAGGTTCTAAGAAAGGAAACTAAAGACCCAGATGATATTAGGCTCGTGGAAGGAAGAATAATATAAGACAGTGGTTCACAAAGTGCAGTCCCCAAATCAGCAGTGTCTGTACTACCACACAGCTTTGTTAGAAATAGAAATTATCGGGGTGCTTGTGGCTCAGTCAGTTAAGCGTGCCACTTCGGCTTGGGTCATGATCTTGTGGTTGGTGAGACCGAGCCCCATATCTGGCTCTGAACTGACAGCATCCAGCCTGCTTGGGATTCTCTCTCTCTCTCTCTCTCTCTCTGCTCAGGCAGGTGCATGAGAGATTTTGGTTTGTTTTGTTTTGTAACCTGAGTTTGAATAAGTAGCTAATGACATTTTCAGTGGTTGATGTACCAGTCAGGTTAGGTTAGGTTCTACTGTGGTAATGAAACATAGAAAGTTGCATGGTGAAGCTTACCATGGGTGAAGCTTACCATGGGAGAAGCTAAGTTTTGTCACACTCCACATCCAGCACGGTGAGGCAGGGGGCTCTGCAGCACACAGATATTCTATACCTTCCTACGATGCAGTCATTTCAACACTATGCCTTCAAGTTTTGCCAGGGCAAGAGGAGAGCATATACAGAGACTGGTATGTAGGTTTTAAATGCTTCTGCTCAGATGTGACACCCTGAAGTCCACTCATGTTTTGTTGGCCAAAGCAAGTCCCATAGTCATGTCTGACTTCAAGGGGGTGGGAAAGTACAACATGTACCTAAAAGGAGAGGAGAACCAGAAATTCTGGCCAACAGCAGAAACGTCTACTGTAGTTAGATACCATGTGCCCAATTCTTGGGCAAGTAGGCTGGCTCATTCATCCTGGTTTGCTCAGGATTTCTATACCTTTAGCGCTGAAAGTCCCATGTCCCCTCAGTCCTGAGCCCACTGGGATGATTAGTCACTCTTTGAACAAGGCGTAGTGAACATAAAGAGAAGAAGACTCAGTTCTTGTCCTTGAATTAGTTATAATCTGCTTTTTTTTTCTTACATTAGACCTATATGTAGAAAAAGAGGAGGAATAATACAAAACAGGTGATAAAGCAAGAACATCAAGTTGTGTCCTCCATGGGGATAGTATTAGCATTAAAGAAGATAGAGACCGTGGTGGATGAGGAGAGGGAAGAGGACTTCCTGGAGGAGTAGCACAGCCAAAGGACCTTCATTCTGAAAGGAATCCTAGAGTCTCAGGCCGGCTTCTGCTGCTTGCAACTAAGACAAATCTCTCTTATAATTTCTCTTGTGGGTGTTTGTGCAGTCTATGCTTTTGTCCTTCCAGAGATGGGGAGATCATTACCTATCTTGCCGTCTAGAGGAAGAGGAGAGGCAGAGAGGAGCAATTACAAGAGGGAGGAAGGGCATGAGTGCAGTCAGGGTAGAGTGTGGAGGTGGGGGAGTTGAGAAATGAGGAATTACAGTTGGTGGCTCGGTCATGTGAGGGAAGACAGAAGTTGGAGACAAGGTGGGCTCTTTTGGGAAATATTGGAAAGATGAATATAGGGATTATCCTGAACATCTTTCATGAGAGAAGGACAATATAGCCATATATAAAAAGTTTTGCATAGAACTTCAGGCAATTCAGGGGCACCTGGGTGGCTCAGTGGGTTAAACAACTGACTCTTGACTTTAGCTCAGGTCATGGTCCCAGGGTCAGGGGATCAAGCCCCATGAAAGCTCCACACCTAGTGTGGAGCCTACTTAAGATTCTCTCTTTCTCTCCTTCCCTCTCTCTGCCCTTCCCCTGCTCACATGCTCTCTTGCTCTCTCAAAATAAATAAATAAACATTAAAAAATTTTCAGGCAATTCAGGGACCCCTGAAGCCCCTGCAGTAAGGCTATGTGTGCATCTCGGGTCAAGTTTATTCGTTTTTGAGGGAGGGTCAGAGCCCTATGTGGTGCTGGAACCCATGAACCGTGAGATCATGACCTGAGCCAATATCAAGACTAGGAGGCTCAACAAATTGAGCCACCCGGGTGCCCCTCACATTGGGAACCTTTGAACCCAGTGGCTGCTAAACGTCTTTAAGCACCGAAAGCTTTATCTGTTCAGGTTCTTCTGATTGAGCTCTATTGTTCCCCAAACGTGTCGTCTGCCCGGCGTGACTTTCTGCACCATCCATCTCTGTGGATTACAGTTCCACCTGAACATCAAGAGGCAGCTCAAGCGCCCTCTCCTCCTGAAAACCTTGTGGTACCTGTTCCACAGCTCTCTCAGCACACGTACAGTTTTCCCCTGAGTTCTACTGGTTTGTGTGCTAATGCACTACGGGTTACACAGCTCCATCTCCTCCCTCCTTACCCATCTGGTACTTAGTAGATTGTGGCAGAGACTTCCAGTCACCTTACTCAACTTCCATTCTTCCCTCTTCTTTAATTACAGAATCATCATATTCTCTGGGTCAGCAGCGTGTGGGCTAACAGGCTACCTACCCAGCTTCCCTTGCATCTAGGGGTGACTGGTGATATGTAAAGGGAAACTACAGGTTGGGGCTTCCAGGAAAACTTCTAATAGGGGAATAATTCAACTGGGAGGAGGGATTCCCCCTTTTCCTGCCTGGAATACAGATATGATGGCTGACTTCCAGCAGCCAGTTTATTACCCTGAGCAAAAAGATAGAAGGATCCTGGATCTCTGATGAATTATTACGCCTCCATACCAGCCTTGGTCAACTACTTCCTAATTTTTTCACAGAATAGAATAAACGTCTTTAAGCACCTTTGTTTAGAATAGAATAGAATAAACAGCAGCTTTGTTTAAGCCACTGCCATTGAAATTCTGTCACTAGCAACAGAATGCAATTTCTAACCAATTCATAAGGTTTGTTATATTGCACTTAGTTAGAATATTTTCCTCTTGGAGGCATTGTATGTACCCCAGCTTCAGGTCTGGAGGTAGAAGTGTGGGTCTGCTGAGAAAAGTACCCCGGGCTTGCCAGACCGTTGATGGAAATCTTGGCTTTGATAGCTTCCTCTTGAAATTACATATAAGAGAGAAAAACAAAACAAAACAAAACAAAACAGGAGGAAACCTAACATTGTTGAATCCTTAGGCTTTTAGTTGTTGTTAAGTAAGCTCTACCCTAAGGTGGGGATCAAACTCTTGACCCTGAGAAGTAGCATGTTCTACTGACTGAGCCAACCAGGTACCCCAAGTCCTTCAGGTTCAACTGGAGTGTTTCTCAAGGAATGGGCAGGCCCATTTGCTTGAGAATCATCTGAAGTCCTCCCTCTGTCAGGAACTGAAGGACTCAACCTGAAGAATTTTCACACTAAAGTTTGAAACTTTGTTGCTCCAATGGTTGTGGTGGGTCATCTTGTCAAGGAATCAAGTTGCTACAGTAATTGCATTGAATTTCGGGGGAGGGGGGTTGCTTAAGCATCAACTCTTATTAATTTCAGCTAAAGGCACGATCTCACGGTTCGGTTCGTGGGTTGGAGCCCCATGTCAGCCTCCGCGTTAAAGGTTCAGAGCCTGCTTGGGATCTGTCTCTCCTTTTCTCTGCCCCTCCCCTGCCTGTGCTTGCTCTCTTTCTCTCTCTCTCAAAAATAAACAAACTTAAAAAAAAAAAAAAGATATTTCTAGGGGCGCCTGGGTGGCTCAGCTGGTTAAGCATCTGACTTTGGCTCAGGTCATGATCTCTTGGTTCCTGAATTTGAGCCCCACTAAGAGGGCAGAGCCTGCTTCGGATACTCTGTCTCCCTCTCTCTCTGCTTCTCCCTCGCTCATGCTCTCTTTCTCTCTCTGAAAAATAAATAAACATCAAAAAAATTATGCTGAATTGTGTTGCACCAATTGAGAATGGAGCCTGAGTAATGCTAATTAGTGAAAAGCCACCTTTGCGTATTTTCCCAGGATACCCTTGGGAGAGATGGCAGGCAAGATTCACTTTACCATTTTCTTTACCAAGAGTTGATGCATGTCAATAATCACTGGTTAGGGTTTTCTCTGTTCAATAAAGTTCAGATGGAAGTCTTCAGGGATCTTAAGACAGTAATGCAGAGTAGGAAAGGCACAGCGTCACACCTTGATTTTCTCTAAGGGAAATTGGACATCGCTTCTTTAAGTGGACTCTAGGTTCTGGAAACACTAACAATGAACAGGGGTGGACACTTCTTTATATGAGTGGTTCTCAGGGAT